AAAAACAATATAACTTTTTATTTGTCAAATTATACTTTTAAAAAAATGTTTTTTAGAACATAAATTAGCAAAAATATGCTTAAAAAATAACTCACATATTATTTTTATTATCAAATTGTACTACCAGACACGTTTTCATTGTTTTTGTTTTCTGAAGATGTTTTCCAATTAATCTACCAGACGCATTTTCATTTCCTGAAAATGCAAATTTGTTTCCTTGTTTTCATTCTCTGAAAATATTCTTAGAAAACACTCTCTGAAAACGTTACCAGACGGGCCCTAAAATTTTAACTAAGTTCGATATGAGATGAAATTTAAGCAGCATTTTGGGTTGATTTTGTTTGAAACGTTGAGTGTCTAAAAATGAAGTATAAGTCCCTTATTTATAGGCAAATGTTGCCGCTTTCAAAAGCTGCCGAGAAAATCGGCCATCACTCAAATTGTTGCGTAAGCCGCCTTCTTGACCTCAAGTCATGCCTCGATCACAGGTCCCTTGGCTTGTCCTTCTACACGCGTTTCCTTTGTGAGTTCCAAAGCCTGCATTTATGTGTGCACAAGTTTCAAAAATTAGTTAAACGTCGCATCATTCCCTTTGCCCCCTGCGTAGCATTCTGATTAATACAGGTCACATGATACCTTTTCCTAAAGTCGGTACTTGCAACTTTTACTCAGTCGAGATTCTTTGGCCAAGGAACAAGCTGCCGAGCTTTGACTTTGGCCGAGTTTTATCATGGATTTAATTGAGCCATTATCAAAGTTCTTGGGCTGAGATTTTGACCCATATATATGTATTTGGGCTTCTCATTCTGATCCTATCTTTAAAATAGAATCGAATCCATTGTTCGGGCCGAGTCAAAAGCATCAAGAAATCTTTACAAAAATCTTGACATACATGGCTTGTAATAGTCTCTAAACCCTGAATTTGAAATTACTCGATTCAAATGGGCCTAGGGGTCTTAGACATGAGTGAATTTGTAGTACTACGAAACGAACATTCCTCATCTCTAATGTAGAAATAAATGTTTCCGTTGTTTTTCTCATCAAATTGCGAATTTCATTACAAGAACCAAGGCAAAACAATCCAAGAACCAAGCTAAAAAAAGAACACAAAGAAAGTCCACATCACTAAAAGTTAAATATGTTCACAGGTCAAGGTCAAGCCCACAAAACTCAAAACGACCAACACCCTAGAACTCAGACGTGCATTAAAACACTTCAAAAAAAGCTGATAAGTACCTAGGTCCAGCCATCTTGTACTACAGAGGGGGCGCAAATGAATGGTGGGAACGGATCAGCCACAGAATTCCCGTGACAAGCATAGAGCCACGCAGGCGCAGGGGTCAATTCACAACGATCCTTTATTGCCGTGTATTTTTTGAATGATTCAAGCTCTCTCTCTTTTTAAAAAAAATAAAATAAAATTTCAAGCTTTGAGATTCACTAGAAAAAACTGAGAACAGTGCGTGATTTTTTATTTTTGGTTTCTGGAAAATTTCCTGGTTAATGATTATAACTTTTGCCTACAATATATACCCAGTAATATGATACATATAACGTTACTCTGAAATTCCTCAAACAAATTTGATATATATCATATCAGTTTTTCTTTTATGCGGCCGTTGTAAACGGGAAGGAAATCATGAAGGAGTAATACAAAATACATGATGTCTGGACGACATAAAAGAAAATATGCATATCATACATATAGAACTAATCAATCCAAAAATCCTCCACTGGAGGCATCTCTCTAAACAGTCTTTCAAACTCCTTGAACGATATATTTTTCATCAAAACTGAAGAATTACTCTGAGACATCGTGGTCGTCTTTCCGCCATTAACACTGCAACTAGTGTTATTTGATGATTCCATAACATTAACATTAGTCCTCCCACCATAATTATTGATCCCCTGATCTCTCAAGAAGCACTGGCTTTTTGCAACAATATTATTTGGCTCCTGCATTTCATATGCCACCCTTGAGTCTTTCCCAGTTAGCTTTTGCACCACATCTTTGAAGCTCATGGCGTCTGTCTCCACATACTTGGTGTTGATGATCACAACCTTCACGCACTTTCCACTCGACATCAAAAACACAAAATTAATCTCTCTCTCTGCAAGCTGGTTTTGAAGAAGGGTTAATTTGGTAAACTGGGTACTTGGGGTTTTGCGATTTGAATTGTTGGTGGTTCAAGATGTTTGGTTTTATAGTGGAAGGGAAAGGAAATGGTGATTCGGGGAAGACTTGTACGGCAAGGTGGGGGCTGAGTTGACAGTTTGGGTTGACCGTTGTGTTGTATCTTGTATGTATGTATGTTAATGAAGGCTCAAGCTAGCTAGAAAAAATACAAATAAATATATATTTTATATATAAGCAGTCTAGAAAGACCAGATTGGGTCAAAGCACGCAATTGAGAAAGTCTTGCATGTCCTCATCAGTCCATGTAAGCATGTGATACGAAGGAGGTGAGGGTTGGAATTGATTCGATGGGCCATGCATTTATAAATTGTGTGTAGTGGGATGAGCATATATGAGACTCAGTACTAATTGGAGAAAGGGTTAACAACTTTTCCTTTTTATAATCACGATATTATAAACTACTCTAATGTACGAGAAGAGAGATTGAACTCGGGTGCAAGAGGAGTGGATACACTGCCTTAACCAAATTGCTTAATCCACATCCCTAAAGAAGGGTTGAAAACTTAAAAGGGTCAATTTGACAACATGCATGAGTATTACAAATTACAAATCAAGGTCAAAGCACACGTGTTAATTCAAATTACGTGGTGGACAGGGTTCATTGTTTTTCTCCAATTACATGTAAATTATTGGGCATCTTTCAAATACGATCAAAAAACGTAAACTGCTTTAACTGCTTCTTTCATCATCCAACTATCATGGAAAGTCCAAGTTTGTCCTACTCGTTGAAAAGATGAACGAGGGGCTTCGCATTTGTAGTGCTAAGGTCTTTTTTTGGTCAACTTGTGCTGCTATTTGAATATTTGGTAATCATATAAAATTACAAGTTAATCTTACTTTTAATTTGTTGACCAAGTACTATATGTTGCAACTTCAACCTGAAACCCTCCAGAAGCAACGCGCATATTGACATTATTTTAACATATGCTTGGTATTTTTTTCAACCGTCGTTTTGAGGCTCAAAATGTTTCTGGAAAGAGCATGCTGTGGAAGTCAAAAATTTAAAAATAAAAATTTTCAAGGCAATATAAAAAGAAAAACACACAAATATATCATTGTCAACGAATCTCAGTTTCCACTGAATTTCATTAGGATACTAAATATAGTTAAGTCAAACAACAAATGAGGGGTTTTTTTTATTATACCCAGTTTAGAATGTGTCGTGAGGGTTTAATTTTCTTGTTGAGTTTAGAAAATATAATTATTTGATTGAGGAGAAAACTTCTAAATGAAGTGTTGAAGAAATGCGAGGAAAGAAAACTATTTCCAAGAAGAAAGGAAATATTTGTTTTGTATTTGTGTAATCATGGTTATACCTATGGATACTTGTCAAGTGTCGAAAATGATGGTGATGATACACCTTAGGTTAAAGTTATGAGCAAAATTACTCTCAAGAAGAAATGTCAGGAAACAAAAATTCCAAAAAGAAATGTGAGGAACCCGATCGATTGACCAAATAATAAAAATTGGTATTAAATTTATATATGTGTGGTTTTAGAGTTAAGAGTCGCGTATATTATGTCAATAAAGTCAAGGTAATTAGGAGGATAACTACGGAGTTGATAATTTCTTTGTCTAGAGAATAAAGAGGACAGAGAGTTGGTTGGAGGCCTAAATTGCTTGAAAATAGAGCTTGGGCAGGAAATTGTCAACAGCCTCATAAATTTGTTTGGGCATGGAAATGACTCGGCCAACAATGTATAACTCCGACATTGTTGGGAACCACAGAAGAAGAAGAAGAAGAAGAAGTCATTTTTGAACAAATTATTTTATTACAGTTACAGAGTCGGTGGGATGGGGTAATTTTTGTGAGGTTGTTGAAATTCTTCATCTTTTTACCTATTTTGACTCAAATTGATGCGAGAACGATATATATTTGTGGTAAGTTCTATACCTAGTTGTGGTAAGACACTATATGAAGATGGATTTAGATTTGATAATATCCATGCTTTGGAAGAATGACCAAACAAATACTAGATGCAATGCAATATAATTAGATTTGAGAACAAATACATCTATGTTATAAATCCAAGTTTAAATAGAAAATATAAAGTGAGTTGTTATTGGCAGTCCACCACAATGCAAAGCTCGTGAGATCACATTGTAATGGTGATGTACCTAAGTTTACAATGCAAAGTCTGGAATATCTTCTAACATTAAAAAATATATATATACATATTAGACCAAGAATATGTACTTATTTTAGCTTGATAATCTACCTTAAATTGTGCTGATAAGAGAATTTTGTTTCTATAAAACCAAGATGAGAATTTTTTTTCTTCCTTTTAACTTAAAAAGTTGATCATAGGAGATTTTGGCGAATTGTAATTGAATGTGGAGAGAAACGATTATAATTGAAGTGATTATTAGCCTATCTAGAATCACTCCCAAACGACCGTATAATTTTTACTTTTTGTCTTAAAGTAATATTTAAACGTTACAAGTATCCTAGAATTTCTCAAACAAAAAAAAAAGGTTACAAGTATCCATATCCCTATTGAATCATCCTCCTATATTGTCCTATCTCTTTCCTTTTAGATATATTAAAAAGCAGAAACAAATAGTCCAATATAGGCCGAAATAGGAAAATCATTCAAACTGCATACCAAAAGTAACGACGGTACCATGAACAACAATCATCAGAAAAGGGGGAAACAAATCTTTAATAGCTTCATCATAGGCAAGCCCTACGTTGAACCATATAACATATGTTATATATATACAAGTACAGGAAAGAAGTCAAAACATTCGAAAAAGATAAAGAAGAGAACCCAAAAAACCAAGAAGAAGAAGAAAAGGAGACATGGGTATAATCATTTCTTCTCTAGGTAGGGTCTTCTTGCTATTGTTCTTGTTGGTATGGGTAACAGAAGGTCTTACCCAACCCAAGTTTTTCAATGTGATGGATTATGGAGCTGTTGGAGGTGGAAAAACTGATAACAGCCAGGTAATATACATATACACACACATAAAGCCGCATAAAGGAGCAATTTTATGTGCATTTTTTTTACAAGGTGATATTCTAAACTACTTTAATGTACGGAGAATGAGATCAAACTCGAGTGCAAGAGGGCAGACATACTTTCTTGACTAATTAACTTACCTCACATTTGCCTTGATGCATATATCTAGATGCATGTCTTTTAATCATCACAATTATATTTCTTTCTTTCTAAGAATTAGTTGATGCTCTTTGTGAATACATGAATTTAGGCATTTTTGAAAGCATGGAGTGACGCATGCCAATGGAATGGAAAGTCCAGGGTCGTGGTTCCCCAAGGAACATTCAAGCTGTACCCGGTGATATTCTCAGGTCCATGCAATGGTCCGATTGCATTTGTGATTAGGGGGACTTTGAAGGCTACTACTGATCAATCAAGCTTTAGTGCTCATAGTTGGATAAACTTCCGGTACGTTGATGAGTTGAGGGTAAGCGGCGGTGGTACCTTGGACGGCCAAGGAGCCTCGGCTTGGCATTTGAACAACTGCAAAAGTAATCCCCAATGCCAGGCTCTTCCAATTGTAAGTCCTTGCTTTTTCTCTTCTACAAAATTCTTTAAGAGACAATATTATATAACAGTCTTACAAAGGGCATGCATATATATATATATGAGAAGCATTTACTTAATTTTTTGTTCTCATCATGAATTTTATTTGTGTTACGAACATTAATGCTACATTACAAGGATACGTTTTCACATTTATGGATGCATTTGGACAAGTCTTGTACATGCATTATTATTAATACGTTACTAAACAAAATGAGCGGTGCTATAGATTAAGAGAGAGCATTAGTGACAACATTAGGTAGGGTTCAATGTGCACTTAATACATTAATTACATGAATATCCTTTAATTAACAAATTAACCATGAAAAGTGTTGCTATTTGTCTCATCTCAACCGACAATTCAAATATATCACTTCTCTAATGGAGATGAAAACTACTTGTGCAAGACCGCGTATTGTGGGATGTACAAATAATATTATTTAAAATGATTAGTGTGTTTATGGTCACAATTTAACATCTTGTTCTACATGTATTGTGGAATGCATCAGTCTATGAGCTTTGACTTCGTCACAAACGCAATAGTTCAATACATCAGATCATACGATAGCAAGAATGCCCATTTCAAAGTCTTCGGCTGCCACAACATGGACTTCAGAAAAATCAGAATCTCAGCTCCTGCTGACAGCCCCAACACTGACGGAATAAAAATCGGAAGCTCATACCGCATCAGAATCGCCCATTCACGGATCGCAACCGGCGATGACTGCGTGGCAATAGTGGAGGGAAGTAAAAAAATCCACGTCTCTAAAGTTTTCTGCGGTCCTGGGCATGGAATCAGCATTGGAAGCCTTGGAGGGTATGCGAATGAAGATGACGTCGTTGGAGTGGTTGTGAAGAACTGCACGTTCTTGGGGACTAGCAATGGCGTGAGGATCAAAACTTGGGCTTCTCCTTATGCCAGCAAGGCTTCCAACTTTACTTTCCAGGACATTTTCATGGATGATGTCCTCAACCCCATTACCATCGATCAAGAATATTGCCCCCACCCTCCTTGCTCTCAGCAGGTATATATGTTCATTTTTATCTCCTGCTTCATATTGAGATGTTATGTTATCGGATTATCAATTTAAGGTCTTATTTACATGTGAATAAGGTTTCAACTAATCAATAGTGGTCTAGATTAACAGTTCGACAATACATATACCCTAAATCCACAAGTTTAAACCCTCTACTTATGTTTTTTTTTTTTGTGTTGACATGGTGTTCATGTCTAATACTACTTTTGTTTAATAATCTTTGCAATGCATATCTGAACTTTTTGACAGAAATATAATAATGGTACAAGAAACATTAGTAGAGAATCTTAAACATAAGAGAAAATCTCTTTCGATTGTTGAACAATATCTGACATGTTGTATTGTTAGATTATCAATTTAAACAATTAATCTTGTATATTATAATTTGAAGGTATGATCTAGATTTTTAAATTTAAGAACGTGGCGGATCAAATTGTGTATTTGATAAAAGAACATTATACCCTAAGTAGGGTTCCAGAAAGCAGATCTTATTTAAGGGTTTCCTTATTGTTTCTTCTTGTATGCAGACTTCTTCGAGTGTGCAAATCAGCGACATTACATACAAGAACATATGGGGAAGGTCGTCATCGGAAGTAGCCGTTAGTCTGGTGTGCAGCAAAAGCAGGCCATGCAAGAATGTAGTGCTGGAAAATATCAACTTGGCCCATTCTAATCCCCTAGGACGTTCCAGTTCGGTCTGCTTTCATGCCAAAGGCGCCTCTCATGGCTCCCAAACCCCTCCTCCTTGCTTATAGCTAGCTCTCTTCTCTTCTATTTTTCAAGTCTTTTTGGCATCCATGTTAATCTTTAAAGATGTCGCTAATTAGATCTCCTTCTGTTAGTTTTTTGGTAGTTCTCTCTTCATCCATATCTTTTGGGATGAACTGCTTGGCAAGTGTCAAAGAAACATTGCCTGAAGCAGTGGATACATCACCCACTTGTTCCATACTTCAGAAATCATAAATAATACGTACTTGGGTGGAAAAAAGAAACAGTGGTTTATATATAGTGGTGTCTCTTCTCCTTGGCAATCATGTAATGAACATCTAGTATATATTCAAGGGCTTTTCCTTTCGGGTGCAATTCCAATTTGACAATTTTCAACTTTAGCACGGCCTAATCAAATTCGATACTCGAAATCCCAAAATTCCAAAAATTTCGAAAAATATTGAATCGGAATTGGAATGTATCTCAAAATTCCAAGAATTCGGGATTTCAACCTTTCGATCTACTCACAATAACAAATTTTGTGTTTGAAATGAATATATTCGGATTTCGCGAGCTCTCCCCCCTCTCCACCGTTTTGAGAGTCAAAAGCTCCTCCCACCCGCTATGGTGTTTCCTCCCTGAGCTATGTCTCAAATTTGGAGCTTTTTGTCTCCTTTTGGTTTTTTCTATCCTCTTCCTCGTCATTCTTAGTTAATTCTCTCTAAATTTATGCCCAAATCTTAAAACCCTAAATCTACAGTTTCTCCCTCATCTTTTTTCCCCATCTCTACCAACATTGTGTTCCAGCCTCCACTTCTCACTTCTTCACTCCCATTTCCCCCTCTGTTATGATGCTTTCCACCCCTTGCCTGAAGCTGCCTCTTGCCGCCAGTTCTCCACCATCGACCTCCGCTCCTCGACTTCACAGGAAGAGGATGCATTTAATTTCAAATGCAGTGTGCACTTTTTACTTGGATTATAAGAGTGCTTTTTGCTCAAGTAACTTGTTCACCCAAATTTTCCGTTCGGACTTCTGGTTCACCTAGTTACCAGAGGCTCCTCCTTGATGGTTGTGAACTTGCAGCTCATGTTCCCATCTAGTTGATTTTCATAGAAGTTCAAAATTTTTATTTCATTTGTATCACTCTTCAGGTAAATGTTTTTGTTGATTAGCATAGATTTTAGCACAAACAAGGAGAGGAAGGTGAATAAAACCAAGGGAAGAGAGAACCCGCTCACTACAACTTAGTCGAAAACTCATCATCTTCTTCCATAATTACTTGCCACAAGACAACTTGTAGATGAGCAACGAGTGGATACGTCCAGAAGACCATCATCTAAGAACTGTGTCCCATTTTGCCCAATAATTATTTATAGTCTCATATTAGAAAGGTTTATATAGGGTAAGATTATAGATAGAAAGTCTCTAGTGTTCTTACTGCCCAAGACCAGCCTAAAAGAGATCAAACATCTAATAAACCACTGCCCAACAATCACAATATACATCTACCTACATCTACATGTACGTGCACGCCTTCATTGAAATGCATAAGCATAATCTAGTTTCAAAACCAGACTAGAAATTCGACCCAAAAAAAAGAGACTAGAAAACGAAGGTTATTGAGGGACAAAAAGGGAACCTAGAGTTTTGGTGGAAATTCTGTTCCTGGGTTTCCCTAGTCACTTGGTGTTTTACCCTCCTAGAATTTCATGCCATGAGGAATTTAACAACGGTGGGGAATTGGTAAACTGCAACATTGTGGCCATTTATTCAGTAAATACAAATTGGTATTTAAGCTTTCCAAGTGCGTGCACAGTGTGAGCAAGGACATACTCACAATCATAAACAGAACAGAACTGAACTGAACTAGAACTTTCAAATCAACGACGAGGTTAAAGGTAAGATTGTCAAGATCCAAACCATCTTTTAAAACTTCAACTGAAGCAGGGTCCCAATATTTCAGCCCAGAACATGAACCACTGCGACGGAAAAGATGGAAATACTGAAAGGAAAAGATGATTAAACAACAAAGTTCCTCCGAATCGTAAAGCCCTCCAAGCTCCATCCACAGATCTTTTCCGGTGGTATTGGTTAATGCAATGGACGAGTAACACGTGGCCGCACAGGTGTCTTTGAAGGACTTACCCTACAGAGATTACAAAATATACAAGATATTATGGTATTGACCTGACTTGAAGAGTTGGGATAAAAACTTATTTTGGATCAGAGACCACACCTGATGGGTTGTGTTCCCAACACCATTCCGCTACAATTCAGTGCAAGTATGGCACTTTCTGCCTGTTCATCAAAGCAAAAGAGTAAGCCAACAGGATTTTTCAAGAGAAAGAGCATTTGTCTGGACTGTATTACTGAAAAAGATTTTAAATTCCTCAACATAGTTTTGCTAAACATCTAATGGAATATGACATAATCCTTTATACAGCTCTTGTTATAATAAAATGAAACGATGGACCTCCAGTCAACACATACATGCACACACGGTATAATCTAAGGAACCAAAAATGGAAAGTATAATTTTCAAGGGCAAACGATTAAGAAGGAACAAAATAAAATTTGAAGCATCAAGTTTTCATATATGTCTTCATGATGTCAAATCAGAAGTACGGCAGTCTTCAACCAAAAAAATAAGAAACCGTCAAGCATTTAATATGCGAATGGCCCTTCATAAGCAGATATACTGATACAGTGATACTTTAAGTTCATCGCACATCACATTTACCTCTTTCCATGTAAATGCAGAAAAGGAAGTATCCTTGTGACACATAAAAAGGTAAAGCTCTTTGTCATTCCATAACAACCTAATGTGCAGAAGTTCTATGGTTGCAACTTACATGGAACAATAGTTCAAGATCTCTAGAATACACTAACTGAGCTACATTGCAACAAATGCTCGAACAATACACCAAAGTGTGTTTTTTTTTTTTTCTATATCTTTTTCTTCAATGGGTTGCCTTACACTTGGGAAAATAGAAGATTCTTTATCTTCCAACTGAATGAGATGGAAAAGGGGAGGAAACAATGCCCAAGATTGAAACTGAACCTGTCTACATGACACTATGGTAAACATTTTTATTGCACGTATCCTAATTTACTCCCAAGAAAATCTTCACCCCACTTGACTTACACAAGAACAAAAACTTCTGAAATGGAACAAGAACCTTTGATAGAGATACCATTCAGACGCTTGTTCCATATGCCATCATTAGTTATGCAAATAACACAGTAGGATAAGTAATTCCTAGACTTCAAAGCTATTTACCAAAGTGTACGTAGTACAGCCTAGAACAAAATAAATAAACACTAAAATCAATATAAAAGTTTAAAAAGAAAACCCTTAACGACAACAAGTGATATTTGCACGTGCCTAGGACTCTAGACACCATCATAAGGACACCTCTGGAGAGTGCTTCTTTTCAAAATATACACGAGACACTTGGTACTCAAAGTTTGGGATAATTTTGGTGCCAGTGGTATTCCACTTGGGAAGGGAGGGCTTTCAATTGGAAGAGATCCAGCATTTGATAGAATAATATAGATCAGAGTTAAGGATTAAAAAGAGTCTTTATACATCATAAGCATATCTTTAAAAAGTTTTGACTCTAGTCGGCAATCAACCTTAATGTTGTAAGCTTACCATTGCAAATTCAACAAAAGCTATACGAGTTGAATGCACATGATCCCCCAAAAGCCTCAAACGAGTAACCTGCAAGTAAAAAAATTATCAATATCAAATTAGCTTTCACAACAAACACTATTGACACGAAAAATTATATGTAATAAATAAATAACATGCTTTGGAATTCTTCCTACCTCACCACAAGCTGTTTCAAAGAAATTCTTGACTTCAGCTTGAGAAACCTGCATATACAGTAATATATGGAAGATTCCAGTTATTCAACTGCCATGTATGTATGTATAAAGGCCTGATGGCCAATCCCACAGGCATCATCTGGGACACAAGGATGCACTGAGGAAACCAAATATTTCATTATGGTAAAACAGGAAAGTGTATACCTTCTTATCGATATTTGTACAATATACAGTCCTGCTACACATTTCCCGTTCATCTTCTGACTGCAAATGAAATCATAGAAAATCTTATGAAGGCAAAAATCTTCAGAGTCCAACCTTATTAAAACATTAATGCACACATCATTCAGAAAATGAACGCAAAACTTTTAGAGCATTGTTCATACCCTAGGGAGGAATGTAGGGTTCACAGGAAGGATGGCAGTTTTTGAGGGTAAGACCCTAACAGGATAGTACCCTAGCATTGTCCCACCAAGGTTCAAAGCTGCTCTCGCACCATCTGTTGACAAAACTTCCATGTGACATGCAATCATAAGATGTTACAGAAGTTTGCAGGCCAAAAAGCTAGAAAATCTTACGCTCATCAGCAAACTCCACAAATGCAAAACGGAGTACGGAGTGCGGATCACCACAAATTCGGCAGTCAACAACCTTCAAAGATAAAGATTACAAAAAAGTTTAGGAGTGTCATTTAAGATATTAGCCATCGAGTAAAAAGCAACCACCTTCATATTATCAGAACCTAGTATCCTTGCACAAGAGATGAAGTACATAAATTGCCTTTAACAACAATGCTTATGTGCCTTTCAATGCTTACAAGTATGATAAATCATAATTACTGAAAGGCACATAAACATCGTTCCAAATGCCAAATCCTTAAGGAAAAACATTTAACCACTAACTTTCTTACGTTTCACCAAAGATCAAATAACATGAATAATGTATTAAAAAGAACACAAAAGTCAGATAAGGAAAATTATAAAATGCATGTCATTCGAGCGGGTGAGGGAGGGAAGGGGAGAGGGAGAGACAGAGAGACAGAGACAGAAGCAAAGAGAAACCTTCGTTTAGACTATCTTTTATCCTTGTTTTAGTGTAATCCCCATCTTGCTTATGTATCCCTTCAAAGTATTGAGTCCATAAATTTAACCTAATTGTCAAGTTTACGATATGTAAGTCAAGTCTTCATATTTGAGCTATGTCAAACCGACACATTTCTACAATTTATTTTTGAACATGCGTGAAAAAACCTGCATGATAGTGAGTGTGGTGGAAGCACCGAATGACAAAAATATTAATTTTTATTTCCAACAATTACTGCTGTACAAGTATAGGTATCCCTTCATTTCCGCTGCATGATAGTAAGTATTGGTATTTCATAGCCTAAACCTTTATAAACAGCATGAATGAATTCTACTGGCAATCCAGAGTATGCGGAAAACCAGAAGGGGAAATTGACTGTTGAATATATAAATCCCATCATTAACAGCAGAGATCCACTGGAAGCACACTTTTACTGGAAGAAACATCATAAAAAACAGGAGATTCACTGGAAGCACATTTTTGAAATTATATGATCACAGAAGCTTCACAAAACGTTATGGGTTAAAGACTGCAAGAGAAACTGCACTCGTGCAGTATAAAACTAATAGAAAATAAGCTTATAATGTTTGAGAAGTGGAAACGCATACATCAGATAACTGTGATTTCTATTATGTTTAAAAGAAAATCTCTGTATAATTTAGTATTCACATTATGAGAGCTGTCTTGTCCCAGATACCCTGTTAATAAAAAGCTTTTTCTGACAAACTGATATTGAAATGGAAAATGATAGTAAGTTATTACATTCTTTTTCCTGCATAATATTATCACCCATTTGTAGTCAAAAGGTATTCACGAAAAAAGCCCTACAAAGCAACACTACTATATAAACTATAGCTGTTACGATAAATCCTTCTCATTTACAGACATCCATAGCCACAAATCTAAAGAAAACCACTTTCCCTCTTATTGTAGAGATCTTTACCAACCCAGAACGTCCAGCATAACTTCACTAGGAAAATAGTACAATCTCATTTATACAATTTTTAACAGGAAAACGACATGAACTTTGATTCAATAAGAAAACAAAGAAGCCCCTTAAACTTTGTAACATTTATGAATTTCGTTTCTTCATATTTTTATCACATGACTTGATAGAGCACGAAATCATCTGAAAAGAAACAAGACCTGATATAGAGCTTGATATAGAGCCAACAACAGAACACCAAATACTCTTGGCCAGAAGAGCATCAAAGCAACCCTCAAAACTACCTTCAACCCATGTGTGGATCAAGCCAAGGGTGTCATTTCATATAATTAAATGTTGCATACAAGATACCATAAATAAAATTATTTATGTCCGATACAAGTTTCAATTATATACATTACCAATACACTTAAATGGAAAATTCTTGAGGATAACCACATGGCATTTACCAACACTGCTACAATATACTTCGTCACATGATCTCAGTCCTCATTTTAGAAGCGGACAAACAGAACATGAGAGACTTCATTTCGGGAGGAAAAAGATGATAGCTTACTTTAGGAAAAGAAGAAGTCTTGTTATGGAATTCATGCTCTGTAAGACTAACCACAAAATTCTAGAGAAAGCAAAGAAACAAAAGGAAGCGCCCAGGTTTGAATTTACACATTTATTGAAACAACACTCTTTCTAAAATCAGAAAACATAAAATGGAATCCAGGAAAGCAATGTGACTTACTTGTCCGCAACTACTAAATATGGCAGCAAGACGCTCTTCGGTAACCTAAATAAGAAAGAGTGAGTTTTTATAACAGCTATTTGTTTATCATTAGAAAGGACAGAAAACCCAATATAAGTATCAGTATCTTCCAGTTCACTTACTTGCTGATCAATATCAGAAACATATACTGTTCGTCTAATACTATTTTCCCGCTCAGCTCTGAAAGCTCTCCCACTAAGTCTTCTCTTCCCCTGATTAAAGCTATTTCTTCTCTGAAAAACACAAAAAGTATAAATTACTATGACCAAATTCAATGAAGGAAAATAATAACTACATGTGTAGAACGTAATCCGTATCTTTTCAAACAAAGTCGTTTCTTACAAAAGAACAGCTTCAGAGGTTCTCAATTGATAAGACGTCCAACAATCAAATCATTATAAATTCTAACTAAGAATAATGATGATGGCAATACTAAAAACCAGTCATAGTGACTAACAATTAATAATGATGATGAGAAACACAGTCATGATTGAAAATATGCACCAAACAAAACTCCATGCTGAATAATAAAAGTGATTGCTAAGCGTATCCAAAAAAAAAAAAAATTGCTGACCAAAGGAGCAACCGATTTCCAACACAAACACACAACCCAAAGAAATCAAACTGAATGTTAACTGAAAAAATCAAAAGGCTAAACAAAATACACAGAGCTCATTTACTCTCAAGACGAACAAGTGGAAACTCGAACTTTAGATCATGAATTCAGACTGCATCAGTAAACAACTAACTTCTCACCAGAAACTATGCATACGGTTACAACTTACAATACTGGAACTATACATCCTTTTCATTTCTATCATAATCAGCAATCACTAAACTATTTTATAATGAATGATCAGCAAGGCAAAAAATGAAATTCAAGAACCCCACTCACCGACAACCTGAACAGCTACCAATTCAACGAAAAACCCCAATTCAAATCACATTACATCAAAATTACAATAATTAGAAAAATCCCACAAAGCCCATTTAGCTAAAATCCGAACATAATCAGAAGAAAAACAAAATATAAGAAACAACCCATTATTTAAATAAAACAAAAAAGACAAAAAGGGATCAAAAGAGAGTGATCAGTACCCTTCGATTATTGGCCAGATTATCATTGGCTGAGAGCTTATTGTTATTGACCGCCAAAGAGTTGTCAAAATTGGAATGTTGGTGGTGAGAGTAAGATGAAGGGAAAAACTCTTTGGCTAAAGGGTTCAGCTTGGTGAACATATCCACCAGCTTCTGCACATCAAATTCTGATTTGGATTCGGACATGGGTTTTGACATTGAATCCAAGTTTGAGTTTTTGACAGAGGCTGCCTCACCGGAAATCTCAGCAACCGCAGCCATAGAATCAAAACCCCCCACAGAGATTTAAAAAAAGGAGGAAAAAGAAACTAGCAACTACTAGAATTATAAATAGAAATGATATAAGAACGAGAATTCAAGGAGAGAATAAAATTAATAAATTAAACTATTTGTTGCTCTTCTTCTCTGTGTTTGTTGCTGTCCCTCTGTAAATGAGGGTTTATTAGAGCTTGAGATTTTGGAGCGTAATTGAACAAAAACAAAAAACAAAAAAGATTGAAAATTTAAAGAAACTCTGAGTAGAATAATAAAAATGGTTGAAAAGAGGAATATGGGTTTAGTGGACAATGATCAGAGCTGAGGTGGTGATGGAGATGGAGGTGTTGGGAGGAGCAAACAGTTGGCTTTGGGTTTGGCTTCTTTTGCTAAATGCTCTAACCTTTTTCTCTATATATCTTTCTCTCTCTCCTCTATTTTCTTTTTATGGGTTTTTTGGGTTTGGCATTTTGGCTTGGGTTTCAGAGAGAGAGAGAGAGAGAGAGAGAGAGTTGAGTGTGTGTATTGAAATGTATGAGGACGTTAAAAATGGTAAGGAAGGCAAAGCTAACGTAAGGTGACTTAAGCAATAACAAAAGCTTTCATTTTATTTTTGTTTCTATCTCTTGCCCTCCATCTCTGACTCTCTCTCTCTCTGCTCACATTCTGCAAGTGCAACAGATAGACATGTCATTCATAATCATAAACTACCCCTGAATTTATTTTTTTTACAATTATAGATAAATATTTTAACTTTTTTTATCCCAGCAGATTTGTAATTGGGTGGTGACAGTAAACCCTAAAAATGTCTTCTTTTTTCATGGCATATATTCATTTTAGTGTTGTTAGTTTTTTTGAGAATATAATAATAAGGCAATGTTCATCCATGTGTATACTTTATATCTTCTGCAAATATTTTTTTGTGCCACAAGGAATAGGTTCTTATTGCCTTTAGGCAATGTGGTTGGTTTGGAGTGTTTTGACTTTTGGTTGTAGGGTTTAGTTTGGAATTAAAGAAGTATGGACCATGTGGGGGAATTTTATGTGCCACGTGTCAATTTAGATTTCTTTTGGGTATTATACTCCAATTGTAAACAACATGTTTAATCAATTAATCAATGGACTGTTTAGTATTTTTATAATCCCTACTGTTGGTGATGGTCACAAATTCATTTTGTAAATTGAATGTATGTCATGACTCATGAGTAATGAAAATATGAGTGACAACAATGATGTTGATATCTTATTAAGGTTAGAATTATATATATATTTTTCTCTTTTAATTCCAATATTATTCTCTTTTTCTATCATGTAGTCTTTTTTTTTTCTTTTTTAGAAATTCTGAAATTGCAATTATAATTCAGCCAAAAAAATCACTAGTCACAAAGGGTCAATACAAACTAGCCGTAAAGAGTCATTACAATAACGGAGCAATCTGACATCAAAATTAAAAAAATATAAGGCTCCTCCACTAACGATCACGCATGATCGAAACTAAGAACTTAAAATTGAAAACTCTTGTGCATTTAAAGATAATATTGGGTCAATTGAATTGGGTTGAGTACCAACTACTCTTTTACTCAGCACACCCCTTTTGCTTAAGGTTGCAATCATAAGTTTCTCTTCTTTATAACTTTACTTAAATTTTGATTAAAAAAATTCAAAGAATATAACTCCCCCAAGCATGATTACTGTAATTGGCAGTTTCATAAATTTGCTTTTAGACTGGGAACTACTCTATTGGGTATACTACTAAAAAGAGAAGTTCAAGATCATTTTCAATCTACACTAGGTAAAATTTTAGGGTTAGATAAGGGCTATTTTGAGAGTATTTAGATGTGAGTAAAACAAGGGAATATATATATAAATAGAGAATAACACAAATTGCAAGTTAATCATTATGATGACGTATTTAATTTATTCCTTTCAAAGGCCTAAGGCTACGAAAAAGACTAGGACGAGAATCGAATTTTCATCGCGGGCCATGGAAAAATGAAATTTGCTACTATAATAAACTATGAGCCTTGGAAGAAAAATTCCCAACTATATTGCCCTAATTTATGAACAAAGTCCATAAAAACCAGCTGCTCGCAGTTGACAACCACAAGCATTAGTTAGGAGGATCTTGCGTTTGGTAAAGCAAATAGAATAACAAATGAAAATGAGTGCAGATATGTACGAACTTCAAAAAAATATTTCTATTTTTGTTCTGAATTATTGGATAGAGAATTGAGATGAGACTTTACCATCATTTGCTGAGCATGAGAATCACCTTTCTGTCTTCTTCTGCGAGCAGTTTTGCCTTTTCACTTTCTTAATTCTCACTGATTACTATTTTAATACAATCGTAGGTTTGTTTTGTATGATTAGCATGGGCCAATGGTGAGAGATTTGAGCTTTTGTGTTTGGACTTTGGACACAAAACTCCAACTAAGGTGACATGCAATTATTGTTAAATACTATACAAGTTGAAAATATTAAAATTAAAATAAATAAAACTATTTCTGATAATTTTTGCCCACAGGTTGAAGAAATAATGTTTATTTAAGTTGGCAAATGGGCTTCAATCTCAATGCCAAGCAGCACAGAAGAGAAAATCAGACTCTGGAGAGAAATGAATGAGGCCTGAGATTACAGAAAAGGGCCCTACTAGGCCCACTGGGCCTACTGGCTTTATATTATTTGTCATGTTACTGGCATATTCATTGATTGTTAAGATTTTCTTAGGACCAGTTTGGCATTGTTGTGCTGTGAAAATAATCGCTGTCAGATTTGCTGTGAGAAAAAGCAATTTGGTGTTCGGTAAATGTTGTTGGTATTGATTTCCGCATAATCAAAAAATAATTCCCGTATAATCATTAAACCCAGCGCCTCTTCGAAACTGATTCCAACAAAATCAGAAAATGAAAGTACCTAATTAGCTACTTTCCCTTATAGCTTTCTCTCAAAGCAATTTTTAACAATAAGCGATTTTCTCATAGTTTACCAAACAGGTTGTGCATTCAATTTTTTTTTAAAAATCACTTATTACCCCAAATAAGCAATGTCAAACAGGCACTTATTATATGATTGGGAAATTTGTATAAATACCATCTGAATTTTTACTCGTGTGTGAGATTACCACCTGAATTTCTAATTTTTACTTGTAACCACCTAAACTATGTAAAGTGTTGAAATTTACCACTTACGTATAACCTTGTTAAAAAATTTCCGTTAAATCAAGTCACATATTGCATTTAATGTGTATTTTCAAACTTTTAGATATGTGATAATTTTAAGAGTATTTTTGTCAATCAATATAAATAAAAAAAAATTAAAATTTTAAAAACTAACCTAATTTAATGTTAAATGAAAAAAGTAAATAAGAAAACTAACCTAATTATTTCACGACTTCCCCACCTCCTTCCAACATCAATTCTCCCCCACCAAAATAAACATCTCTCTCAAATCGAGTTATTCTTCCACAATGGCTGAGGCCAATCTTCATTGTTCTTTTTTTTATTCCTTTCAAAATTTTGGTGTTAGTTGCTTCACTAGGTTTGGATCTCATGCCCACGTTTTGCCTCTCATATTTTCTTCATTGCACATCCCCTTTCAACAATATGACGGTAGATTGACCTTGCGGAAGGCTATGTCTAAAGGAAAGGCAAACATAGCCATGCCACCATAAATTATGTCGGCTCAATAACTTTTCTTTCTTCGTTTTTATTCTTCTAGATTTGGGAGGGGCTACGTGGGTGAGTTAGGTTCTTTTTTTTTTCTTTCTCCTGTTAGTTTTAAATTTTTTTACTTATCGTGAATTGATGAAAATGTCCTTAAAAAATTATCACATGTTTAGCATGTGACTTGATTTAACGAAATTTTTTAATGGAGTCAGATGTAGGTGGTAAATTCCAAAACTTTATATAGTTTAGGTGGTTACAAGAAAAAATTAAAAGTTTAGGCGGTAATCTCACATATGCCTAAAAGTTCAGATAGTATTTATGTAAAATTCCCTATATAATTTATGGCGAGCTTTTGTATTGATATAACACTGAATGCACTTGAATATTTGATTTTAGGAGCATTCCCATTATTCTCCAACTTTAACAATTTATGGTGGTTGTCAATTTATGGCGTTCACATTTGAGAAAGGTTAGTTTGAGGCTAAACTGAGTCAGACCTTACCTAAAGTTTCTATGTTTTCACATCTTTCGGGTAATCAGAGGCGGCTCATGGGGTGTGCGAGCTGTGCGACTGCACAGGGCCCCCAAAATTTAAGGGCCCCAAATTTTTCCCAGTCAACACATTCAATTAATTAAAACATGAAAATAAAAATGAAATATTAAATATCACCCCACAACGCCACATGCAAGGCCCCAAAACCAAAACCAAAATTGAATTGAATATTAATTATCAACAACTTCCACGACCTAGAGAGTCTCTCTCTAACGCTGCAACTCTTCTTTTTATTTATTTATTATGTTTGAAACCTGTGTTTTCCTCTTCCCAACTCTTGCGCTGCAAAATCATTATAATATTCTTTTCTCTTTTAGTGAGTCTCTCTCACTCGCCTCCATCAAAATAAATCCCTTTCTATTACCACCATCTTCCATCAAATTTTGGATTGTAAAAACCCAAGCTTTAGCCCTTTCCCCAAAATCACAGTTCTTTTCTCCCTCCCTCATTCACATGAGAATTCACCGAGCATTGAAATTGGAAAATCAATTTATCAGCTCTGTGATTTGGAAGAGTGACTAAAGAAATTTTTCTGGGAAGCTCTTTCCGAAGGTGTTCCTCCCGTGTCAGAAAATTTTGTTTATATATGGATTTTTTTTTTCCTACTTGTATATGCGGGGCCTTGACATCCATATCTGCACAGGGCCTCCAAAATCAATGGACCAGCTCTGCGGGTAATACTTGACTGAGTCAAGTGTATTAGTGATAGTAAATGTTGGCGAGAGAGAGAGGGAGACAGAGAGTACTTGCAATACATGAGAAAGATTATTGTCTTCTTTAAAAAAATTTAGCCATGACTTTTTTTGTACGTGATAAGTTGATTGACAAGTACCGTCCAGTTAATATCTGTGACATATATCATCTCTTTAATATCAAGAGAAAAGAAAGAAAAAAAAGTTCATTTCTTGTAATTAAACTCAAGATGTAATTATCTTAGATAACAATGACCTATATATGCAAACATGGACTTAAACAGGTTGGCTAGAGCGGATATGCTTCCTATTATGCACCCGAGTTCACATGCTAGTTTAGTTTAGACTAAAAATAAAATATCATTGGTATAAAAAATAAAAAATAAACATAATCTATATGTACTTCAATGCAATACTTTGTACAATATTAATTGCAATGCCTTGATTATCTTAGACATAGAAAATTATCAGGTATGTATCAAACAAAGCTCAACAGGTCTTGTGTTTAGCATTGGATGAACAATTTCTGACAGAAAAACTAGTAGGTATAAAATGGAATCATTAAAGTTGAGTTTAACAAAAAAGTTGTTTCCACACGTAATGACTCAACGTGACCAGATAAGGGCATGTGCTATAAAACCCTTTGGTTTGGCATAGGGACAAGATAATGGTAGGTATAAATTTGTTTTTTTAAATCTATATCCCAATCCAGTCCTTTGCCCAAAAGATTACTTTAATCCATCTCAGTACCGTGCAGTTCAATCCAACTAAAATCCTTCTCCATGAGTCAATACAAGTCGACCATGAAACACATTTTATACCAATTGACCATTGACGCTTGTAAAAGCAATTAATAAAAGAAACTTCAAAGCACTGCACAGGAAACTTCACCTCCCCCAAATGTTCTATTTATACCCCCCATTTCATTCAGTTTCCTGTCAAGTCTAGCTTCCCAAGAAAATCTGTCCTTCTTCCCAACAGAAACAATTTGATTTTGCAACAAAAAATTTCATGGGTAGGTCTGGATTGTTTGATCTTGAGAGGCACTTTGCCTTCTATGGAGCATATCACAGCAACCCTTTTAACATTTTGATACACACTTTCCTTGTGTGGCCTTTGTTCTTCACTTCTGTTCTTCTTTTCCACTTCACACCTTCTGTCTACAGTTTCCCATCTGGGTTTAGTGAGCATGGACTTGAAATGAATTTTGGGTTTGTTTTCACTGTGATGTATGCCCTGTACTATGTTGGCTTGGATAAGAAAGCAGGGTCCTTGGCAGCTTTGCTCTGTTTTGTCAATTGGGTTGGAGCCAGTGTTCTTGGTGGTGAGCTTGGGTTTTCAAAATCATGGAAGGTTGTTCTGATTGGTCAGTTGCTCTCCTGGGCAGGACAGATCATAGGCCATGGGGTTTTTGAGAAAAGAGCTCCTTCAGAAAACTTTGCTGAAGGGCTTCTGATGGGGCCTTACTTTGTGCTGCTTGAGCTTCTTCACTTCGCCTTTGGCTATGAACCTTATCCAGGGTTTTACAAAAGTGTGAATGCAAAGATTGATGCTGATATCTCAGAGTGGAAGGTGGCCAAGAACCAAAAGAAACTCTCTTAATTATCTGAGATGGATTGAGATGAATGTACTGGTTATTTAGTATTAAAATTTTGTCAAATCTCTATGTAGTTTATGAACTTTGGTATTTTGTATGAAAATTTTGTCAAATCTCTATGTAGTTTATGAACTTTGTATTTTGTATGAAAATTTTGTCAAATCACTGTAGTTTCCTTCCTTTATGAACTTAATGAATGTACTGGCTTTCTACCATCAGCTTCTTCTTTTAACCTTTCGGTTTGTTGACAACTAGATCAAATGCAACTTTGCATTTTTAATGGTCTTGCCAGTTGCTTTAGTTTCTTCTTTCTTGGGATGTTTGCTTTCTTTTCTAGATTATCTCTAATGATCTCGTCAGCTTGCTTTGCAAATTAATGCAACTTGCACAAAGGAATCTTGTGTTGCTTGTTCAAGGTACTGACAATGCATTATGTTATTAAAAAAATAAAAAAAAAAGGTGGTTTTTTCTTTTTCTATAAAATTCTTATTCAAATACTTAGATATAAATAATATATATATATAGCTTAAATAGTAAAGTAAAATAAAGAGACAAACAAATAAATAAATAAAAGTTAAGATTAAGAAAGCAAGCCTGGTATAGTGAAAGCACGTCAAAGACGCTGTCCTAAAGCCTTTGTAGCCTCCCTACGTGCAGGTAATGACGGTCTACAAGACTCCAAGATACGACCCCAATACGCAGGCTTAAGGTCCGCTATGAGCACGTTCACAGTCGGATAGAGATTTCCAAGCCACAGAACCGTTGCCCAAAAATAATATAGAAAGTAGGGAATATATGAAAGTATGAGAATAGAGAAATCTGATTGTGGTGTGTTGAAATGTGAAGGAGGAGTGGCCTTTTATAGGCATCCAAAACTTGTAACCTCCATACACATTTAACCAGAAAAGTTGGTGCAATGAATAGAAAATAAAAACTGAAAATTAAACAATTTGTAACTCCCATAATAAATAAAAGAAAACAGCCAAAATTAAAACAGAAAATAAAACATTAAAATTTAAAATCCTTTCAAATAATAACACATTATTCTTATTAAAATACCGGAAACAGGGTGCAGTTTTCCTGTTCTAATTGCAGAGGACATGATGGCCTATAATATATTTTGATGCAAAAGTTTGTATAATTTCAATGCCTTTGATTATTTTCGACATGAAAATTCCGAGGTACGATGTATTTCGTTGGCTTTGTAGTACAACTAAATATCATCAAATCAGAGGTTTACTGACACCAAATCAGCCAAACCAGAAATTAGGAGGTAGAACATATGATCATTAAAATTGAGTTTAATGAAAGTGTCATTGGTTGCTTCAACTTGAAGACTTCACATGAATAGGTGGCCAGGTCCAATCAATTGTGAGGCATGTGTCCCATGGTGATCCATAAGAACTCTGGTTGCCATAGAGATAAGACAATGGTGGGTAGAAATATGTTTTAATATATAGACCAATCCAATCCTTTCCCATAAAATTAGTCTAACAATATTATAAAAATTGACCATTGACACATTGTTATACAATCAAGAAAGAAAATTTCAAAGTAGCTAGCAGGAAACTTGACCAGATGTGCTTTTATCTATACCCAATTTGTTTCATTTTCCAGTTAAGTCTAAATTTCCAGTAAAACCTGTCCTTTTCTTCCAACAAACACAATTCAATTTGGCAAGAAAAGTTTCATGGGGAGGACTGGATTGTTTGATCTTGAAAGGCACTTTGCCTTTGCCAATGGGTTCCCACCACAGTGGTGGTGGATTCCCCCTTCCCCCCATGGCACCCAGGATCGAACCCCAGTGGGGTTTCCAATGGTAACCAAAAAAAAGGCACTTTGCCTTTTATGGAGCATATCACAGCAACCCAGTTAACATTTTGATACACACTTTCTTTGTGTGGCCATTATTCTTCACTGCTGCTGTTCTTCTCCATTTCACACCTTCTCTCTACAGTTTCCCATCTGGGTTTAGTGAACATTGTCTTGAATTGAATTTTGGGTTTGTTTTTACTTTGATGTATGCTGTTTTTTATGTTTGCTTGGATAAGAAAGCAGGGCCCTTGGCAGCCTTGCTCTGTTTTCTCTGTTGGGTTGGAGCCAGTTTTCTTGCTGGTGGACTTGGGTTTTCCAGGTCATGGAAGCTTGTTCTGGCTGCTCAGTTGTTCTGCTGGACTGGACAGTTCATAGGCCATGGGATATTTGAGAAAAGAGCACCAGCTCTTTCAGACAACTTTGTTCAAGCACTTCTAATGGGGCCTTACTTTGTGCTGCTTGAGCTTCTTCAATCAGCCTTTGGCTATGAACCTTATCCAGGTTTCCATGCAAGTGTGAGAAAACAGATTGAAGCTGATATCAGAGAGTGGAAGGCCAAGAACCAAAAGAAACTGAGATGAATGCATTGCTTTAATTTGAATTGATATTCATGAATGTACTGGCTCAAATGCAACTTGCATTTTGTCTTGTCAGATGCTTTGTTTCTTTCTTGGGATGTCTGCTTTTTTTTTGGGTTGGATTATTTCTTTTGGTCGATCCAGTTCATCTGCAAATGTCTACTTTTTTTTGGGTTAGATTATTTCTAATGGTCTACCCAGTTGATCTGCAAATGCAACTTTTAGAAAGGAATCTTTGTTCAAGGTAATGATAAAAATATTGTTCTTATTAAAAGACTGGAAAAAAAAAAGATGACTACATCTCAGAAGTAGGATTTTCTTTTGCCACCCCATATCATCACAGCTTTAGATCTTGATCAGTTGGCCAAAAAAGGAATAAGTTGAGAAAACTTAATAGGCAAGTTATGGTCCAAAGAATCATTTGCAGGCACGAATGCAAAATCCTTGGTGACTTTCTTAGAGATTTGAGCATACTAGCTAAATTCTCACATTTTTTTTTCCTTTTTTTAAAATATCGGTCTAGTGATATTTCTTTTTCTAATGTTATCTCTCTTATTAATTAAAAAAAAAAATTGTAGATTATTGATGTGGTGGAGCAGGAGTGGGAAAAGCTTCTGTGTGAAATGACATCATAATAAAATAGAAAATAAAAGACAAAGTCTAGCAAAATAGGAGAGAACAATGAAATTAAGGTCAACCAGAAATTTCTTGCCATCCACAGCTCACACTGTTCCAGGCCATATAAAAAAATGAACTACTTCACTTGGCTTGGAGCCTTGGATGACTTAAAAAGAATATGGCTGACCTGTTCAACACATATAAGCCAAAGTTTCTCAAGTGGTCCTCGTACTATCTGCTAAAACATGATATTTTCTCTTGAGACTATCTGCTAAATCATGATATTTTCTCTTGAGACTTTTCCACACATATCGATATTGATCCATGCCCTTATCAACCTTGCAACTAGATTATTAATTCAATGGTTATTGGGAGGTTTTGGGTTACTTTTAGGATATTTTATATTTTTCATCAATAAATATAAAATTTTAAGTGTAATCGGTTGTATATAACATGACAAAATTTGCAGTAAGGAGGACAGTCGTAACTTGTAGCTTGATGACAACTAGGAAATTGTTTAATGGTATTTTCAGGAGATTGACTCCCCTACGAGTGAGTTGCTTTGCAAGTCAGTGCAACTTGCGCAGAAAATTCTTATGTCATGGTTTTGGGAAAAGAAAAATCAACATATAATTCAGACAAAAAAGTTCATCCCCATGCAACCTCAAGCTAAGAATGCATGTGGTCCTCACACACAATTTTATTTATTTATTTATAATTTTCTGATTACATACATACTAAATATCTTTTAGTATAATTGTATCTATTCTAGGTACTGAATATCTACAGCTTCTCAGTCTCTATAAATCTGTGTTCACACCACCACACTTTCATCATCCCCATCAAAATAATACTATTTCAGAACCCTTCTTCCTATAATGTTCATCCACCAAATTTCTTCCATTAACCTCTCAACGTCCAAATCATTTTCTAGTTTACAAAGTATGTGTCTTGTTCATGCATCATACCATTCTAAGCTTCCTTTTATCATGGGCAATGAAGTAATTGTTGTCTCTTTCAGTTGTTAATTTCTTCTGCACCAGTTTTCTACATTCTGCATTTTTTAAAGCAGGGTAGTCTTTTAAACTTGGAAATTTGTCTTTCTCCACAAATTAATGGCTGAAATTGCCGTTCAAGTAGCGTTGGTGGTAGCGGAGAAGGCGATAATCTTCCTCTACTACAAACTCAATCATTCAAGTACTGTCCGTTATGATGTTCAAAAAGCCAAGAATTGTTTAGAGAGGATGCGAGCATATTTAAGGGATTACTCAGCATCATCATCATCATCAGAAGATCGTGAAGGACTTGAAGGGCTTAAAAATCGTGTAAAACAGGTCCAAAACATAGCTTATGAAATTGAGGATGCTCTTGACATGTTCATGCTTGAGGTTCCTCATCAATTCCATAGCAATGCATTCTCTGAGAAGATACACGGCCTTGTACATTACCCAGCAGTACGAAAAGCAAGCCACGAGTTCTCCTCCAAAATCGAAGACATCATGGAAAAAAAGCTTCGTTTTCTTTTAGACCTTGATTCAATTCACCAAGTTCCGGGACGAGACCAAGAAGGCCGCCCAAGTTCCAGCACCACCAGAAGGGAAGATAGTCATTCGACTCATCGCCGTCTTGAAGAAGAAGAAATAGTGGGGTTTGAGAAGCCTAAACAGGAACTCATCAAACAGTTGGTGGAAGGAGATAACTCAAGGCCTTTTACCATCATTTCGCTTGTAGGTCCTGGCGGCTCTGGCAAAACCACTCTGTTGAAGAATGTTTTCGAAAACAAAATGGTCCAAGGGTTTTTCAATTGCCATGCTTGGATTGATGTGCCGCGTGACTTGTGTGACCGCAAACTCCGTGAGCTCTTGCTTAACATGTTAAGAAAATTTGACCCGAAAGGCAAAAGGGAGGGACCAGATCATCATGAAGATCCAGAAGTGCAATTGAGACAACTTCTTGAACAAAAGAGGTTTGTGCTCGTTTTAGATAATGTTTGGTGCAAAAAAGATTTGGAACGCATTGTAAATTATATTCCAAATGGTTTGCCTGGGAGTAAAGTAATCACAACTTCTCGTATATCTGATGTAGCTTCCGGGAGAGCAAAATCTCCTGCGCACATCCATGATTTGAGCAATTTGTTATCCAAGGAAGATGCTCGGAGTCTATTCTACAAGAGGGCTTTTCCTAATGATAGAGAGGGAAAGTGTCCACCCGAGCTTAAAGAGTGGGCAGATAAAATCCTCAAGAGGTGTGAAGGTTTACCCTTTGCAATTTCAGCTGTTGGTACTTTGCTAGCAAAGAAACGACCAACTCCACTTGAGTGGAAGAAGTTACATGACAACCTCGAACCCAATCTTCCGATTATCAGCCAAATTTTGCAGCCAAGTTACGAGGATCTTCCAAGCCATCTTAAAACTTGTTTCTTGTACTTCAGCATGTTTCCTGAAGACTACTCCATTAGCCGTGAGAGGCTAATTCGCTTGTGGGTAACTGAAGGATTTGTGATGCAGGGAAAATCTGAAGGATTTGTGGTGCAGGGAAGAAAAAAAAAACCAATAGAGGAGGATGCAGAAGGTTATCTCACAGAACTGATTGGAAGAAATTTGGTTCATGCAAGTACAATGGAGGTCGATGGACGAGTGAGGAGCTGTCGTGTTTTGAACCTTGTTCTTGACTTCATCATCTCAAAAGTGGAGAATGTCATTGTCTCATTTGATGAAAACTGCAGTTGTAGTACTCCAGATGAGAAAATTCGACGCCTTTCTGTTCATAACGTTAGTATGACCAAGTTGTCAAGGAATAGAGACTTAAGTTGTATTCGTACCTTATTGGTGTGTGGGCAGGCAAGTTCTCTCTCTGAGCTTCTTAAGACCTTTAGATTTTTAAAGGTTTTAGATTTGCAAGGTGTCCCTTTGGAGGACTTTCCCAATTATGTTGTTGGTCTCACTCTCTTGAGGTACCTATGTCTGAGGGAAACCAATGTTAGAACAGTTCCAAAGTCCATAAAGAAGCTTGGATTCTTGGAAACCTTCGATCTTAAGCAGACCAAAGTGACCAATTTACCAGCAGAGATTTATGCACTCCACAATTTGCGGCATCTTCTGGTCTATCGCTATGATGTCCCGAATTATGTGACATTTGGAGCTGCTAGAGGAGTAGAAGTTTCTGCAGGCAATATTGCAGCTTTGTCCTCCATACAGAAGTTGTCACTAATTACGGTGAAAAACAACAGAAAAATCATAAGAGACTTGGGGGAGCTGAAAGGTCTTAGGAAGTTGGGGCTGACAGATCTTGAAAGAAAAGATGGAAGGGAACTGTGTTGTTCTGTTCAGAAAATGGAAGATCTTTCAACACTTGATGTAAGATCAACGAGCGAGGAGGAGTTTCTTGACTTGGATCATGAGGAATTTCCTCACTATCTGCAACGTCTATATTTGAAAGGGCGCCTAGAAAGGCTGCCTAAGTGGATTTCCCAGCTCCATAGTGTAGCCAAGATTGGTTTGAAGTGGTCAAAACTAAATGCCAATGAGAACCCACTTGAGGCCCTCCAAGCTTTGCCTAATCTGATGGAGCTCGATTTGGTTCGCTATTACACTGGGGAAAAGTTGGAGTTCAAAAAGGACACGTTCAAGGAGCTGAAGATATTACACATTGAAGAATTTGATCAGCTAAATACGATGGTTGTCCAGAATGGAGCAATGCCTAAGCTCAAGAAGCTGACCATGTCCAGATGTCAGAATTTGGAGTTACTTCCACTCGGCATTGAGGGTCTAAGATCACTCGACGAACTGCTTCTATATGACATGAACAATCTATTCATTGCTAGGCTTCAGAAGGGCAGTGAAGACCGGCAGGTGGTGGAGCACATTCGAGTCATTCATTCTCTCTATCTCGGGAGCAATCAACGCTTCACTGGATTTCAGAATCTCTCTTGATTTGCATTGACTCTAGAGAAGAAGCACGAGGTGAGTATAAAATTGCTTATGTTTTGTTGATGACTTGCAATAGTTTTACCCTGTATATCAATAATCTGCAGCCACTTGCTCTAAACTTGGGATTAATGTTGAAGAATATAAGTCTCACGTCGGAAACTTGACTAAATAAAATACAAAATATAATGAATGGTTCCACTACTGATATCATCGAAGTCTTCTGTAATAACATCTCACACCTATTAGGCTTTGTAGATGATTAAGTTGTGGACAATATCGGTATTGCTAGTAGTGGGCCGTTGGCCCGTTTCTCTGAAAGTTAACCGTTAACATTTTGACTGACCTTTTTTTTTCCTTCCCTCTTTGTTTAGGCCACATTGGGGAGAGTAGCTGAACTGAAGGTGAAGATGGGTTACAACTCTATTGAATTGAAGAACACTATGGTCTGTTACATTCATTTTTATTAGAACAGCATATGTGGGGCAAACTAATCTCCATGCATTATTAGCTATATAATTTGCTTTGTCTATGCATTTATTTAGTTGATTGTAAGCGCAAAACTTTGATTTATTCATAATGAAAATTGAGGCATGGCAATTAGTTTAGATGCTCACATTCTATATAACACCTTCCAATTTGGTTTGTACTGTTGCAACAAAGACTTCAATCGTCGGAGAAATGAGATATAACTTAAGGAAGTTGAATTGTTTTAACCAAATTATATGTGCAACTTGACCAATTTGAGATGGGTGTGAGTACAGTTGGAGCTCTCGTTCTCTCTCTCTTTTTTTTTTTTTTTTTTACAACTCCCATTTTCTTAATGGCTTTTTGCCCACATGTCCAATCACATCATGACATGTGGATTAAATAAATAAAGAAAGATTTTTTTTTTTATAATGAAAATCCATTAAAAAACATTTAGCCTCTCTCTCTCTCTCTCTCTCTCTCTCTCTATATATATATATATATGCTTTCCCTCTCCCTCTGTTTTTTTTCTTGCCTCTACAACCCAACCACCACATGCCCACCCTATATACAACCATACAAAGATGGCTCCGGCAGGGAAAGCACAGGCCACGGCTAAAGAACTTCTTGATTCAATTTTAGATGCTGTTGTTCGGATTTGGTGTGAGTTACTTTCTGATTGTTAATGTGTTCTTATTTCTAGTTTTTAGGTTTTTATTTATGTACATAAAGTAAAGCCTATAGTTTTAACGTTGAAACTAAATTCCCTTGCATAATTCTTCAGAGAGAGAACCATGCTGTTGTCGGGGAGCTTTTGGAATCAAAGTCTTGTGTTCAAATGGACATGAGCACACCAAAATCAATGCCAACAGATGTAAATTGGAATCCACAGGGAGGAGAGAGGGCAGAGCCCCACAGAGAGAGAGAGAGGCTAAATGTTTTTTAATGGATTTTCATTATAAAAAAAAAAATCTTTCTTTATTTATTTAATCCACATGTCATGATGTGATTGGACATGTGGGCTCCACTTATCTTCCACATAAGACACTTAATAGAATTTCTAACGGTAGGGACCATTTGTGATAAAAAGCTCAAACATTAAGGACTATTAGTGTCACAAAAAAAACCTCAAGGACCATTCGTGATAATTTCGTAAACGTTAAGGACCATTTGTGATAAAAAGCCTTTCTTAATTAGAGTTAAACTTTTGCATCCAATGTTGCCTTCGGGAACCTCCACTCCTGCAGCTCCATCATCACAATCACAACCGCGATTGACTAAAAGATGGCTCATATTGTTGAACTCATAAATCTCTTTTGGTAATTTAGTCATTAGACCATCTCCAACCATTAGGGTGGAAACCCAAATTTTTAGTTTTGAGCCCAAAATTCTTCTCCAACCATGTATTTTGGGGAGTGGAAATTTGAGAAATGTGAAATTTGGAGTGGAATTCCAGTCCAAGTTTTGCCTGGACTGGTAATTTGTGTGGAGCCCAAAGCTCTATTTTGCAGCCCATGTGAAGAGGCAAAAGAGGTGGGCCCCGCGTGACAGCAAAGCTGTTTGGCAAGTAGCCCTTTTGCACAACACATGGCAGCTTCAGGAGAGAAAGATGTCGGAATCCAACGGCTGAAAAGAGCTGGGTGGTTTTTTTATTTTTATTGCAAAAGTTGGGTTGTACTTGTTTTTATTTTAAAGTGAAATTCTATTATGCTTTGGAATTTTAATTTTTTTGGTTAAAATGTTCACAAAATTAAATCACGAAGGTTGAAACAAAAATAATGTCAAGAAAAACTAATGACAAAAAAAATTATGGGTTAATCATTCTTAAACAATTTAATAAAGTTGTGGACTCAAATTATGAGTCTGCAAAGTTGGAGGGAAAAAAAAAAAATTGAGTCCTGAAAATATATGAACAATTGTATTTTGGAAGGTGGAAATTTAAGTTTAGCCCCAATATGGTTGGAGATGGTCTTATGTGTATTCTAAGTTTGAAACTCTAATATATTTCAAAATCTTAAAATACATTCCAATTTCAATCTAATTTTTTGCAGTACTTTCGGATGTCGGAATTGATTTGGACTCACCAAATTTGAAAATTTTCGAATCAAAATAGATTGGAATCGAATTTCCAATTCAACTTGCCTGGTCTGCAAGTCAATGTTATTTTTCACTAGACTAGATCCCGTTGGCGTTTGATTTGATATATATTTTTTACTATAGCTTTGTGATTATTATCATAGTAATATTCAATTTATAAAACGCGAACGATAATAATTACATAGGGCAGTCCCAAACATATTTTGATTTGCACCTTTTTTTTTTCTTTTTTTTTCTGGACTCCTTCGGTAACTATTTTTTTTCTTGTATTTTTGTTTTTTGAGAAATTTTGGGATTGCATTCATAATTCAGCCAAAAAAAGCCACTAGCTACAAATGACCAATACAAACTAGCCACAAAAGGCCATTATAATAACAGAGCGATCTAATATCAAAATTAAGACAATTTAGGACTCCTCCACTAACGATCACACATGATCGAAAAAACTCTAGTATAGGCATCCCAACTAAGAGAGCAAACTCATAATAACTAAAAATAGATAAGCTTGAAAAAATCAAGCCATAACAATACAAATAAAACTCTCACAAAGGAAAGATGAAAAACTCTCACAAAAGAAAAGGTGAAAAACTCTCACAAAAGTAAAGGTGAAAACTACACAGAAAACCCAAAGAGTCTCTGCGACTTATTCCAAACATAAAGAAACCGTAAAAAGGATGATGGTAGAGATCCGACACCAAAACCCGAGTGGAGATCCGATGCCAAGATACATATGCTTGTGATGAGTGGAAGAAAATCATTACAAAATGAACACAAATAGGGAAAACCTTATGTCTCTGAAAATTGGGCAAAAGAGAAGGTATGAAGGGAAAGAGGAAAGGGAAAGAAAATAGGATGGGAGAGAAGAGGAAGAACAATGACTTCCTACCCCCTCAAAATGAAAACGACTGTAGAGTCTTTTTTGGGAGAGAGGGTGGGCTAGAGTTTTCCACCAAATTAGTCACGTTATTTAAATGTGATTTAATTATTTTTTGGTTTAGTATAGGAGGAAAATAATAGGGGAGGAAGGAGAAAGGATGAGGGGAAGGGAGAGGGCGGGGATGAGAATGAAATAAAAGGTGAATGTCTTAAATAAAAGCTTGAAATGAAAACTATTTGAAATTACTTTATGCGCATGTTATCCCTCATTAATTACAACTAAAAACGAATTAATGCATGTTCCCAAATGGACCTGAAATATCCAATGTTTAAAAGACATATAACTATACCATGCAAGATTCCATCAGAAATGACAAAGAACTAGATAACCAAAAGGTCTTGGTCTTTTATTCTCATTGGGAGACGTACATACGAGAGGCCATCCGTTTTGATTGTTCAATTTGTTAATTTCTTTTTTCTTTTGAAAAGTCATGTGTTTTTTTTATTTTAGGTAAAAAATTATTTTTAGTCCCTATAATTTATCACTTTTACCACTTTTACCCAACCTCCTCCTCCTCCTAAGTCAATCCACCCCCACAATCACCCCTTAACCACATTCCCTTCTC